GGGAGGGAGAGGAGAATACTACTGACTATCAAGAGAACCAGTTTTAAAATATGAATGAGTAAGCCTCCGCGAATGGACGTCTGTAAGAGCAAGAAAGAAAAATGGGGGCAGGGAATAGGGAAGTAAGTAAAAAAAAGGATGGAAGATGGTACAACATACTCAGGCCGTGTCTAGTTTACCATATGCTAGCTAGAATATTCTCACTCAAGCGTGGAGAATGCACGCTGCTTTTTTACACGATAAACTAGTTAAACCAGTTTACCATGTTTTGAAGTATACACACACTTGAAAATATGTTAGAGCATCATTAGATAATTTGTTCTCTTATGATTGTTAAAACCTATGCTGGACTAAGACAGATCATGAATTAAGAACAGGAAACTAAGAGTTCTGGCTCTGACAGTCTCTTGTTCTCTCAGTAGCATTGGATATTGCTCATCCTGCCTAGGGTCCAGTATCCCAACATGGAAACTGGTAATAAACATACTTACCTAGTTCAGTGCTATGAGGACGATTAAATAGTTTATATTTATAAAGTGCTAAGATACAAAGCTCTAAGTAAGTTGCATTATTATTATTAGAAGTCAATGAGCAGCATTCAAAGAATTCAAGCAATAAAATGAGCCAGCATATACATCAGTAGAGTAAGATAAAGCAAATCATGATGTAAATAATTAACAAGCATTTCAAATGAAAATTTGGAAACAAGGAATTTAGAGTCATTTTAAAAAGGTGAGGCACTGAGCCCTGGGGACAGGAATGTTTTTCTCATCTACTGGCTAAAGCACGACACATTATAAGAGCACGCTTACATCAAAAGCAAATCTGTCAGTTACTGCTTTTGCTGAGAATTCTCTTCCTTTACAGCACAGAAAGCACTAGCAAGATTTTTTTCTTGGATCAGCAAATGTCCATTGTCATAAGATGATGTAACAGGTTTTCTACGTCCCCTATTAAGTGGACGAATAACTGGTATATTGAGATAGAGATAACAGTAGAGTTAGGACTCTCGTCCTGGTAATACTTGTGCACATGCATGTTTTTACACTCTTTGAGTAGTCTTGTTCTAGACAGAAGTCCCAAAGCTGTATGTTCCCACTCCTAGTGCATGAAGTTAAGAAGGTGCCTAAAACCTCTGCAAGATCAGGTCCCTGTGTGTATTTTGAATATTAGGATGTGTATTAACTACATAATTTATATATCTACAAACAGTTGCAATAGTTTCATAGTTTCTAGGGTCGGAAGGGACCTGAGCAGATCATCTAATGTATAAGAGTGACAGAGTACTTTAGCTCAGTCCTGCAACTCTTAGTCATATAAAGTAATTATAATGCAACTAGTTATGTTAGTAATGTTTGCAAGATCAAACACACAATTTTTTTTATCAACAAGACAAATGGA